TTTAAACTGTAAAAAGCTAAATAAAAATTGTATTTTAATGATAGTTTTGTAACACTATCACCCCACTTACAGCACAATGCTAAAATGCTAAAATGCTACAGCACCTAAAACATCGAACATAGAAAACTGAAGAGGCTGCACGCCATGGACCAATGCAAGTTTGTTGGAACTTGGGTGCAGAGGCTACCTTTTCATCTCCACACTTTCTTAGCAACACTCCTTACCCAGTTCTTTTTCCACCACTCCTGAAAATATATGAAGTATTGTTTTTTTGCGCACCACTTACTTTGTAAACAACTAAATATTATTATATTTCACTGACTACTGATGTGGGTACACATTATATTTTCATATCTCAAACTGCTCATTTCAGATGTAAGCTATGCAATTTTTAATACAATTCCGATTACTTTTACTTACTAAGAAGCTTCAAGGTTTTTTTTTTGTTAATATATCACGTCAATTCTAGAAAGGACCTTTGTTCTTCACACATTTGTCAGGTGTTTCTCAGTTACAGACTTTATGAATAGAAATTCTGTCCTTTTTTTGCCTTTAACAACTATTATACAGCTTTAAATGTGCACAAACATATGCACACATGTCACTCTGCTTCTCCTTCACGATGTCTAGTAATGTCTTGATCACTAATCTCAGAAACCCCTCCGCCACAGGAATTCCTCTTGACCCCTCGCGGTGAACAAGTAATAACAAATTTGATTTGTGCTCCTCAATTATCCTCCAGCTCCCGCAAGGATATGGGGATGAGGTGTTACAGTGAGGAGCCACATTTCAATCTTTATAGACGAGGCCTGTCTTGGAAACCAAACGCAGCCAAGCTATTATGTTCACAGTGGAGGCTCCTATAACTCAGCTGTAGCTAGACACATGGAGGTCTAAACATTGGCTTCGGGCCTTCGAGGGACATCCTACTGTTCAGCTTTCAACGATGGAAAAAAATCAACCCTGGAGAGAGGGAGCGAGAGGAAAGGGAGGGGGGGGAAGAGAGACTCTGCACTGTTAGCTATTCTTCGCAGTGAGGCAGTTAGCAGGGCATCGCCTCATTGCTGTGGCAACCATTTGGTCCGCCTGACAGGGGTTGCCAAGGCAATAAGACAAAGGGCATGATTGTTGGAACTAGTTTCCTCCACTGAAAAGAGTGCGAGAGCGTTAGAGAGGGAGAGAGAAAGAGAAACTCTTTGTCACTGGCGAAGTTGGAGATAGACACAGGATCCAGTGATTCTCCTAAAACCGACTTGGTTTGGTAAACTGGACCCTTGTTACGGCCGTGAAATCAAATCAAACATTTTAAAAAGCAAAATCACCACGTGCTTAAAACTTGACATCACTTTTTCATTTAAACAAATGTCCCTAATACAGCAGGCTCTGCCCTATTCAACACTTAACCTACACATCCCCTCCTTACACATGTACAATAGACACTCCAGGATCCTTTAAGCATCTTATTGGGACCCAATAGAGAGAGCACCACCCATTATAGAGAATCCACCGAGCTGGAAACACACGGACAAGAAACACACTAACTTAACCTGGATTAACCTTACTACCTTGAGGGATGAAGGTTGTGATGTAGTTTGAAGTGACACAATGAGAAAGAACCAAAGACTATTAAGTAAAATAGTAAATGAATAACTGTAATTTCAGTTTTGAGAGAAATTCCACTTGTTTTACTCGTTCTCTTAAACTAACACTGAAAGTCTCACCTGTGACGAGGAGGAGGAGGCCAAAGAGCCACAGCAGCGCAGGAATGTCAGTGAAGCTGTCGCTGCTAGAGGAGGTCTTCCTCTTCACCTTCATCTTGAGTCCTGGGCAGAGGCTTTCTCCCAGTTAGTGAGCATGGTTTATCCACCCTGGGCACGTCCCTGCGGCTCCACACACTCTCTCCACCACACTGCCTGCCTGCCTGCAACACTGGCCTCTGCCTGGTCACACTGAGCCCCTACTCTCCACACAGCACCCCAGTCACAGCCAACTGTGTGTGCGTGTGTGTGTTTGACTGTGTGTGTATGTTTGAGTGAGACAGAGACACAGTGTGGATGAGCTCCCCTCTTCCACTCCACGCTGCCTTTTCAGGAAGGAACATAATGAAAAATAATGTTTGCCTCTTTAGGTGGTTACTTAGCTTTAAGCATCTGTTATTTTTGAGAGCTTTCTGAAAAGAAATTGCTGTCTCTTTTCCAATTTAACTTCTTTGCAAGAATTCCTGCCATAGCTCCAGCTCTTGAGACAAGCCCACCTCAAACTGAAATGTCTGAGCTTGAAAAACAACTCACTTCCCCTTTCTCTGGCCCACTTTTGTCACATTCTCTTTCTCAGGACTTAAGGACCCCCCCCCCCACACACACACACACACACACACACACACACGCACACACAAGCACTTTGTTCCAACATTATGTCTCAGGTGCACGATTCATGTGACTGTTCCTGTCTGAGAGCTGCATGATAAAAAAGGCAAAACACATAAGAGGAGATAAGAATAACTTGTACCTGTTTTGTCCTCTAGGTGGTGTAGGAGCTACACGATGGTATAGGGAACTGAAGGAGGTGATACTGAAGAAGAGGCTGACATCAACAGTGCTGATCATGTTTTGACATTAAAATCGTGACCTATAATACAACCTTATCTTTTTTCCCTGTCATTTAAGCAGGTGAAAAAAACAGTGGAATGCATCACAACAATCAAAGAGAAAATAAAAGGAAAACATCAGGTGATCTTTAAAAAGATTGCATTGCTTTAGAGCCATTTACCCTTCTTGTGACGCCGATTTAACATTGAGGATTAAGGCCTGTTTGCATGTTCCGATGAGTCGGAGCAGCCTTCTCTTGAGCTTCTGCAGGATTTTGTCTGACCACAAAGGGAAGCTTCGTGCAGAGGAGGACGCACGGCTGACAGAAAGCGTCAGGACTGTGGGAACCAGCGGCTGTTTTGACATCACTCTCTCTCCCAGGGCTCGGGCTGCTGTGTAGTCAGCCATCAAAGCTAAAACCTCTCCCCTCCACCTCTGCCCTCGCTAAAAGCAGCGCCTCCCTCTTCCTCTCATCTTCGAACGCGCTCTAAATCAAGGGGGACACTTTGCAGTCAAAAGAGTAAAGGAGAGAGACGGGACACAGACGCTGTGATTGTGTGTCCCAGTAGATTTGTGTGCATGTGTTATGACAGAAACCATTGTCACATTTAGGCCTCGATGAGATTGATGCCATCCTGTGTGACACAGACATCAGGACGCTCACATCCTGGATTCCACTATTTTACAGATCAGGTGCTGTTTATGCAGCCATGGGAATGAAGCCCACTCATGTATATCCTCTCATTATCGCTAAGTGCATAAAAAAAACATCATCTCTTTTTAGATGGCAAGGCCACATTCATTACAACAGTGAAGCTTGCGCCCCCTGCTGCTTGTCCTGGCTTCTTCATCTCTAATTATCACCCAGGAGAGTACAGAGATCTTCTCTCACTGACAAGCTGTCTGAGACAGAGAACAAAACCAGCCAAGCAGATTTTTCATATGATCTACTCCTGAAATAGTCCACTTAAGCTTAACAAGTTGTAAGAGGTAGGGACAGCACTATTATTCATTGGCAGGTTTCAGGCTGGCCTGTGTTTCACAAACTTCCCTCACATGACTCACACGAGGATCTATAAAGACACAAACACGACTTTCAGGCAAAAATATGTCTTTTCCCTCACTCTCAGAATCCAGTGGGAACCACCAAGTGGGTGTTATGCTATATTTGGAGGTGTGCAGAATATTGATTGTTCACCCACAGTCATTAAAGAGACAGGAGAATGTGGCCATGTCACCTCTGGGACTGAGTAGGAGAAAAGAGAGAATAAGTCCATGTGAAAAACCCATAGAGGATGTTTGAGAGTGAAGCGGAGGAGGCATGTCAGCCTGAGAAGGAAGTGCTCTGCAAAACCGCTGAGAGCAGGACCCATGATGGTACCTACAGCTGGTGACACAACCAAGAATCTGTCTGTGTGTGTGTGTGTGTGTTTGTGTTTGCGTACGAGTATGACAATGAATGACTTCGGTGAGATCTGCATACCAAAGTCGGGGCTGTGTTCTTCCTGTGTGAAAATGCATGTGCAGTTTGAGTGTGTGCCGTGTGCTGTATGGCTCAGATGTGCGTGGGCGGGCTGAGTGGGAACATTGGGAGACTGAAGATGCTCTAGCCTGTTTCTCCTAAAGTGAACAAGACTGCCTGGGCAAATGAAGCAAGCCCAGTGTTGTTCCTTTGTGATATAAACAGCCTTATTGCAGTGAAGGTAGGACATGTATTACAAAACATCTGACGAGTGCAAGCAAATTACCCTGTGGTGTTTTCACGACTATGCACCTGATACATTTTATGGATTAATACATATGGGCTCTAAAATCACCAGCAATATAACTATTTAAATTGCCTTATTCAACTATTTATTAAACAATTTAAATGATCTATAAATATTAGAAATACAGAGTTTTTAGGTGATGAATGTTTCAGCGTCATGGAAATCCGCTCTTGCGAATCAGCAACCTTCTTATATTGCAGTAACAAAAGAAACATAATGAATGAGAAGTTTTTGTTGTTGTGGTGTTTTACAAAAAAAACACTCAACATTAAATAATCTTTTCGAAACAAACGTCCTTATCATCCCTGACAAAACTCCTTCACTTGGACCGATGAAGTTTAAAAGAGACATGTCACCATATATTTAAGGTGGATTTATTTGTGTAATGTTATGACTCTACAGCAAAGTGCAGCAAGGTACTATGCATTTAGATTTAAAGCATGAACGCTCTGCAAACAACGGGATCTTTTTTTTTTTTACACAATTCAAACAAGTCAAACCCAGCAACACAACAATAGAGCATATTGAACCAGTGTCTCATAAAAGTAAAGCTGTACTAGATGCATCTGGAAAAAAGTGTAATAACTGCATGCTGTTGTGGAAGATCAGATTTATAGAAAACGGTTTAACGGTTTAAAAGAGATCGTTCTTGTGATCGAAATGAGAATCAAGGGAATTGCAATAATAAATAGAACATACATAGCTACTCCCTTTTGATATTTTGGAGGTTTTAATAATTTTTGTAAGCATGTCAAATAATAAATCATGTTCGAGATACAAGCACACCAGAAAACAATGCAAAATAGGAAATAATTTAAGCCACAGAGTTACGCAAAGTCTAATGCTGATGATGCATACAAGGTTTATACACAGATGGTATGAACTGATCCTTGCAAAATAAGCCCTGTTTAGCATTTAGAGGACATTCATTTTCACGTTCACAGATCATCATCTAAAAACTAGCACACTACCAGAAGTTTCACAAGTACATGCAGTGAGTTGCAAATTCTGGGTCAAAGAGATTCGTACTGATGAGGCTGCTGGAGAAGCAGAGAAGGAGTGTTAAAGTTCACGAAAATTCACAGAACACACCCTCAAAACTGTTCATTTTTCTAATGATAATTTGTGTTGAAAAAGAAAACGACTCCTGGGATAAAAAGGTGTGTCTGAAAGCCAGACCAGTCAGCTGACGCCATCGCCAGCCATCTCTCGCTACCTTGCACCCCTCCCCCTCTTTCTCTTCATCCAGGTCAGGACAGGGGGGTCACTGCTCTGGCACAGATGTGTCGTCGCTCTCTACTGCCCCCGATCCTCCTGTCGCTAAAAAGAGAGAAACAGGCAAGACGTTAATCACAGCAGAGCCTGTGTACGCTTGTCAAGGTTGAAACTTACATGTGGGCGGATCTTTTCATTTCACTAAAACTCAATATTGAGCAGCTACTTACAGATGAGTCATTTCCAAGGAATCTTTCTACAATAACAATTATATTGAAGTAGAATTTACTTTCTAAGATTTAAAGTAATGAATTAAAACTTCTAACATTACTGATGAGATCAAAAACACACAGCTTATTGTGAAAAGGGGGTGCCAGTTCGACAGGCCCATTAATTCTGCTCAACCCTCGGAAGCATAAGTATACTGCACCTAAAGCACCTGGAGCTATAAATACTTCCACAAAAGCATGCAGGGCGGCCAGCAAATGGGTTATGGAGAATCATTGACATAGATTCCTTGTCTCAGCCACATCCCCAATGAAAAAGCTGCTGTCTTACATGGAAGTGTGACATTTCGAGAGCTGGGTATCTTAATGCCTTCTCCAGTTTACATGTTCTTGGTGGTTCAGGTAGATTTAAAAAAAAAAAAACGATTTGAGTGGCTATCTGATGGAAATGTTCATTTTATGGTATTTTTGTCCGCAGAAATCTCTTGGAAAGGTTTTGGTTTGTATCAGCGTAAAAACAAATCTAAATGCAACCTTTGCTTGTTTTGAAATAATCAACATTACAAGGAGGCAACAGCAAAAACACTTTAGGACTAATCAAATCCTCAATGTTGTGACAATGTAACTTGACCTTTACAATCTAAACCAACCACTCGTGAACATGTTTTCTCTCTGATGACTCGACTATCTAGAAGAAGATTCATTAAAATACCCCTGTAAAAGAAGAATTAATTGAAAGATTCAATCATCTGTTGCTTGAGTCCTCATGGGGAAATTAAATGAGTCACTCGGTTATGTGTTGCATTAATCACATGTGATCTTAACCATTATGGGCTCTAATCGTGTGTTTAATTGTGTATGGCTTTTAAATGGGCTTCTCACTTGTGTGTAAAACGGTAAATCAGGTTGTGTGCCTGCATCCTGCTCCAGTGTACGACACAAAGAAAAGATTTGCCCCACTCTCGTCTTAAAATGGGAAATTGTTAAAATCAAAGAAGACGCATGCTCTGCCAACAACATGGAGAATTTAAATCTAAACAGCAAAACTGCTTCTACTCACAAGAGTCTGTTAATGGTCAAATATGCAACTTATGCTCTCCATCACTTACCTTATGTCACCGCCTGTGGCTACACCTCCTGATGGGAGCATCTCCTACCATGCTTAAAGTCACTACCCATCTTTGATGGCATTATGTGACCTGGTCTTATCCCTCGTCCTACACCACTGACCTGTGTCCCCCCGGCTGCTGTTGAGCACATCCCCAGTGCTGCTCACCTCCTCCCCTTCCGCTTTGTCCTCGGGCTTCATCTTCTTGCGGGTCATGTGGCCCCGGAAGCCAGCCTGGATCTTGGCGGCAGCCCTGTTGGCCTCTGGGTCATCCAGGGGGATGTCCATGATGTCCTCCTCCTCCTGGGGCCGACTGCACTCCTCCTGTAGAGAAGGGCAACAGTGTATTGGTTATTCAAAATAGGACAGCGTATTAAAGAGTGTTTTATCCCTTCAACACTCTCATCCTTAACAGATCGTGAACTTCTTTTGTAAAGCATATATGCTACAACATTGTCTTTTTGACAGCAAGAAATGTGATTGTTGTCATGTGCATTACATGACTTCAGTGGGTGCTCCCTCCTGAGGCCAATGACTGACATTTAACAGCGATAACTTAATTCCTCTCTTTCTCTGGTTGTCATAAAATCTATAAATACACTGCTGGAGAAAACATGTCTGAGACAGACTGTTTTGTGATGAATTACCATGGTCTGTTGTTAACTTTTTGCTGAAAAGGATGAAATGCAAATGCGGTCAACAGCAGCTCCTCCAGAGACTGAAAGTGCAGCATCCACTGTCCCAAAGGAAACGTGGAGAGGGAGGGCACGGAGAGAAATACTGGCTTGTCATAAAGTGGCAGAGGAAAAAGCACAGAGGCTGTCGAGGAGTTATGTAAACATGAATTCAGATTGTGTGGCAAAAATGGATCCGCTACACCCCGAGATTGGCATTTCACACAAAGGCAGCTGGCAAAACAAGCCCACTACCATCCCCCTACCTCGGTGAGGCAGTGCTGCATGTCTCCAGTGAAACCCCTCCAGTGTAGGAGTGTGACCACCCACCTGTTCAGCCAGTATTCATTAGCCTCTGTGTCTGACTGCTCACTAAACAGCCACAATCCGGCAGCAGCAGAGATGCAGGATTCTGCCAGCTACACACTATCTCAGGGGGCTTTTTGTTGTTATTGCCTCGGGGTCTTCATACATGAATTGATTTCAAATATTCTCAGGTAATATTAACAAATTACGATGAAAAAAAGCTTAAAAGCCTTTAGAAAATATGGCTTTACATTGTCCCTTCTCTGTAAAGAAATATATATTTAAGATTCATAAGCACACAAATTGCCAACATTAACTCTCGTGAAGCGACAACACATCAACACATGGCAGGGTACCAAACACTAGTAAAAACTATTAGTTACTAAAAAGTAAATAAAAATGAAAATCTCTTTAAAAAAGTTAACCTGAAACTTTTACTTACATTATGACAGTCCATGTTTCTCAGGTGAGCTGACCTAGTATAAGTTGTGAGCTCAATTTCTGCGTGGAACCAGCAAAGCAGTCTTTGAACGAGTCTCCAGTATAATACAGATGCCTCACTGGCTTTTACTAACAATCCCTGTATGTTCAGGAACACCCGCTCACGCACACAGAGTGAGAGAGAGGGAGAGAGGGAGAGAGAGACCTACAGTCACAGAGAGAGGACGGGAGAAAGAGGGAGGGAGGGAAGGAGAGAGAGACCTCCTACAAACATGACAGCATGTGTTCCATCTTTTCAGTCTCATTAAGGTTGCTGACCTACTGTGTTCACATTACTGTTACAGACATTTACCAGACTAGCAACCGTCAAAATGAGGAGTCATAGAAATATTCAGAATATGAGACTGTTTCACTGATTTAAAGTTTAACACTTTTGAAACAAGTGAAAAAGAGAGAATTATTTAGTCTGGGTACCAATAAGGAAAATGCAAAGTGACAACCGCATGGAGTGAGCCTCATAAAAACAAGTTGCAGTGTTACAATAATAAACTCATGTAAACAGATGACCAACATAGAAATACTATGCAAAAGCCAGATGGTCATGAAAGAATAATTGCTGACTTTCAAAATCATCTAATAGTGTGAAAATAAAGAAGTGTAAGCATCTTGGACTGCTTTACACTAGGAGGTGTTATAAATTTATTAGAGGCAGAGCGAGCGCGCAGCCCTCTCCATCCCTCTGATCCCAGCTGGTATGGCCGCCCACACTCCTCTGCCAGCCTCAGAGACAAGACGGAGAGGGAGAGGAACAGAAAGTATCCATTTATCTGACTTATTTCTCTGACATTAAACGCTCTCCCACTGGTTTTGCTAATCACTCAAACAATATGCTGAGTTATCCTCAGGCCTAATTTCAGTACGCTGACACCCTTTATCAATCAATTCACTTTGGTTATTTGTAGGAGTGATAAACTCAGTGTAATTAAATTTACTGAAATCAAATCACAGCTGTCTGCACATATTATCCTAATCACTGGTGTATAAAACACATGTATCCACCTTAAACGATTAGAGGAGGATCATAGTGTGCACACATTACATGTCACTTAGCTGACGCTTTTATCAAAAGCGACTTACAATGCATTCAACATTTATGAAGGGTGCCAATTTTGGGGTTCAGCATCTTGCCTAAGGACGCTTCATCATGAGCTGGGATGAGAGCCACCGACCGTCTGTTTAGAGGACGACCACTCTACCCCCTCAGCCACAGCCACCACTTATGAGTTAAAGGTGTAAAAGTTAAAATAAAAAAGACCTGGAGAGGCTTCTGAGATACTGAAGCTAGGTCACTGTGAGAGTAGATGGCCTACATACTGCACAATTGTGTTCCAGCTGAAATAAATTCTTCCACTAAGCAAGAGTACACATAAGACCACTGCATTTAGAAATATGCTCTTTTACTGTTTAATGAGTCAGTTAGAAACTGCGATTAAAGGTGCATTACTGATACAGATGGTGCCTAGCAACTATCAGCATCATTAATTTCATGATGACACTAAGAGAGAGCAGGATGGTGAGGGGTTACCATGGTAACATTCTCAGTACCCCTTCCTACACTCCCTCCCTGTGAGTGTTTGGAGCTCTGTTGGTCCAGACAAATCAGACGGAGCTAACTGTGGCAGCAGTAAAAAAAAATGTTGAAGGCCTGATTCGCAAGACAAATCGTTCAGTCTGTTTTTTATGATGACAAGCTACTGCATTGAGTTTCAATCTGTGGAGGCCGTGGTGGCTCCCAAGAGGAGAGTGAATCTGGTAGTAACAAAGCCAATGTATTACAGTTTTATGAGTGTGCAGCGGAGTAAAGGCCTCATACAGCATTGTGAGCAAAAATGCAGATTATGCTGAAGTTTGAGGCCGAAACTACAGTTTCTGCACAGCTCAGTTCAGATGATTTAGATTACAGCCCTCTTGATGATGTTCAAAGTTAGTCAGAGCAACTGCCACACGTCATCCACAGGGTGAACTATTTTGGAGATATTTTCAGTCACCTACCCCTGAGAACCCAGAGGAGAAAGAAAAAATGTGAGGGGCATTGTTGACTTGTCCTTGAAGGGTTTATTTATACAGGCTACTGGAGACAAGAATGGGAACAGAACAGACTGTAGCCTGGCTCAGACAACTCTGTATGACAACTGTAGGAACTTTTACACTCTGACTGCTGAAGAAAGTGGATCATATTCAATATATAAATAATATATCAAACTTTACCTTGTCAGTACTCTTCTTCTCCTCTGTCTCTTGTGTGTCTGTTTCAGATGCGAGTAGTATTTCTTCTCCTTGCTGATCAGCATCTGTCCCATCTGCAATATGAGTGATGTTGATGCTCTCCTCTTCACACAGTGCACCACTTTCTTCTTCTTCTGGAACTTTTTCTCCTTCGTCTAATGTGGCCTCTTTTTCTCCCCCTGTATGCTCAGGCCATGACTCTACATGCATTCCCTGATGCTCGTCCGATAGATGTTGTGCACTTGTTTTGAAAGTCTCACTCTCTCCTTCCATCTCAGCTGTTGCTGTATTCGGTTTTACTTGTGATGAATGGTTTTCTGCACCATCATCATTAATGTCTCCATCCTCCACCTCAAAATAACCTTCTGTATTTCTGTCCTGTTTGTTTCCTACAACCGTGTCTGTTGTCTCCTCTTTTTTAAAGTCAGCATCACTTGACTTTGTCTCTTTCTCAGAAACCTCACTCTGGAGAAATGTCCTTTCTCTTATCTTCTCGTTATCGCCAGTTGTATGATCTGTTTCATCGTCTGTGTTCCTTTCGTCTGTTTCGGTGTTGGGCTGAACAGATGGGCTGCTGTTTAATTTACGTTCTCCCTTATCATCACTGTCATTTAAATCAGAGTCATTTGTGGCCACCTCTTCCTGCATTATATCAGATACATTGAACTGACTTTCCATATCCTCCCCTTCAGAGTTCAATTCCTTTTCAGCTCCGCCTGTTTCAGGTTCATCTCGGTGTTGTGGACCAGATATATTTTGGTCTGTTGACACTGCAGTAACCTCCTTGGGCTCCTCTCCCTGTTGCATTTCTAATATCTCATTCTGTAACACCTCTACTGAACCCTCTTCCTCTGGCTGTTTCTCCTCAGCCTCAGTAATTTGCTGAGCCTCTGGAACATCTTCAAAGCTAATCTCAACCAATGAATCCTCCTTTGGTACAGTATCACTATCTAAAACACCCTCAATATGAGCTAAACTTTCATGTGTTTCCCCAAAGGAAGCTTTAGTCTCTGTGTCCTCCTCCTCCTTTGTTTTTTCTGCCTGATCTTCTGCTTCTTGTTGATTATCCTCAGGGGTCCCAAACTGAGACAGTGATGATTGTGCAAGTGTTTCCTCTGGCTGAGGTTTAAAGCTTTCCTCTTCATCGCTGAGTGTATCATTTTCAGAAGTGGCTCTTTCGTCTGTTCCTCTGAGCTCTGTTGCACAAATGTCCATATCAGCAAGTCCAGAATGCGGATAGATCTCGACTGGTTCTTCTCCTTCAGTATTTTCCTCTTCTTCTGAGTCTTCAATCTCCTTCTCTACAACAGCAGCTTCTTGTTTATCACCCACATTATCTTCTGTCACCCCTAACTCCTGAGCACATACATCTACGTTAAAAAGCCCACTGAATGATAACATGTCAGCGGATGCAGACTGAGGTACATCTTGGTCTGAAGCAGAGCCGATATCTTTTTCATTAGCTGCCCTGACATCTTTATCAAGTGCATGAAGTGTTGGGTCTTTGTCTTCCTTCATCCCACTCTTTTCATCTGCAGTAGCGGGGCTGTTGATTGATTCTCCTTCTGAAAGCCCCCTTTCCATTGAAGTACTATAATTCTCTGCAACATCATGTTGTTCTTCTTTGGTTTCAGTTACATCGACCTTTTCAGAGACATTAGTTTGTGTGGTAGATAGTTCCGGGGCTTCTGCTGAATGACTTGATTCAATTGCAGTTTTGGACTCTTCTAAAAAGCACCAATCAAAATGAAAGACTTTAGGTGAGAAACGCTCAGTGTGACATGGGGAACATTTGAATGAAGGTGAAGGTAACGCTTTTTTAAAAACCATGCAATGTAATCTCTGTTGCCTCTGTGACCCTCATCTGGAACCTGTCACTGTGCAGGTAGCTGCTGTCTCTTGTTGACCGGTCCTGCTCTCTCCTCTCACTCCTGACACTGCAAACCTTACAGCGCTTCAGATGCTGAGCTGACATACCATGCTAGTTCTGGGCCTCTATTACACAATGTAGTCCTCTTTAGTTACTTTAACATGGATTCTTACAATGAAAACATTGAAGCATGAGATTGGACCACACAAGTATCAGTATTTGCCCTTTTTTCAGCCCTTTCCATTTGTGTGTCGGATGGTTTGTAGGTTTATAAGCACGATTATGCAAACAACTGGATGCATTACCACAATACTTGGTGGGAGGATGCAATATGGGTCAGGGAAGAATCTGTTAAATTTTGGTGTGGATCTGGATCAGGGGAAGATCCAAGATATTTTTTTCTCTTTCTTTAACGTTGCGAGAGGGGGGCTTTTTTCAGCATTATCATTGATTTCTCCGAGAACAATTCATGGATTTTGATAGCATGCTTAGAATACTGATATTTATGAATGTGTGAAATTTGGAGCAATTCCCAACAAGGGTCCATAAAATAAAATGTATTCATCTCTACTTGTCGCTATTCTTTCCCTCGTGTTCTCCCTCTCCTGTTGCTCCTCCTGGCTGATGATAGCACATGAGGTGAGACTCACTTGGACTTGTGATCTCTGGTGCAGGCTCTTTCTCAGGACGTGCCTGTTAGGGTGGAAATAAAAGAAACGTGTGCTGGTAAAGAGAGATACACTTAAAAAGACAGGAGAGTTTATGTTGAGCAAAGTAGGTGTATGTACAGTAGGTTGATTTTATACCTCAGTAGCCTTGAACGCATGGTTGTTGTAAAATCTGTCCTCCAGTTTAGCAGCCCACTCAGCTGGATCCATCCCACTCTCTTCAAAAAAACAGAAGAAAATATATATTTGACAGCATCTTATTGCAGCACAGTTCTGCCATGTTAATAAAATCCTGTCAGTCAACGTGATGAAAGACTTTCTCTAAATAATGACTTGCCAACTCAAAATAAGGCCTCAGGAACTCAAAGTAAAGGCTTAGGATGTCATAATTTCGAATTTCAATTTCACAATTATGATTTATTATCTCATAATTTCAATTTACAATCTCATATATATATATGACTGTTGAATTTTACTCTCCTAATTTGACACAGCATTATTTATTTTTTCTTTCACCGGCAGACATGGGCTTCCATACTGAAGTGGAGTTACCGTCTCTTTGTTCGAGGAGAGCTTCGAAGTACTGTGCAGCATATTTGGAGATGTCTTCAGGCTGGTCTCGTAAGATTTCTCTGGCTAGTCCTTCCAGGATCGAACCAAATCCTCGAGGGACCCGCAGATGGGTGTTGGAGAAGGGAACTGACATTTTAGCGATAAACAGGCCGGAGAAGTTTGTCCTCGCTGGTTTGTTTACTTTCTTCCCGACATGCAGCGTAGAAGAAGAAGAAGAAGAAGAAGAAGAAGAAGAAGCGAGCGGCTAGCGTTAGCTGGTAAAGAATATACCGATAACTTGACGTTTATAGTTTAAAGTCACCATACACAACGTAAACTGCTTGGATATATATTAAATAAGATTTATACAACGTGACAAAACAACTTATTTATACCTGTTACCTGAAATAACTCGTGTCCACCTTTACATTGAACTGCTAAAGCTAGTAGTAGGCGTCTGGTTGACAGATGTTGCTAGGCAACGACTCCAACTACGGTCACTGACAAGGCACAAATTTGATCAAACGCAAAACATTTATTCGACATAATGTGGGAACTAATCTCGACTTTAAGATGTTATGATTCTGCGCTTAAATTGATTAATCTAATACCTTTTATTTCAGTTCATTCATTTTTTGCCATGAATTTTGTGTGGCACTTCCCTTATTGAGATAAATGCTATACAAATAGAGTGTTTAATATTATCATTGATATTGTGATTGCAGGTACAGTTAAACACAACACACAGAGTAATAAGTACACACAGAATACCATTATTATTAACACAAGATCAGTTTATTAACGTGTATTTCTGCTCAAGCATATGTGATGACTGCATACTCGGAGCTGGAGCTCATCTGGCGGCTGACCTCCCTGGGCAGGAGCACGTGCAGCCTGTCAGCTGATCGGGAGGCCTGCAGGTGAGACCCTGGTTCACCTCCCCACCACTGATGCAAAACAAGCAGAAACTCATGAGATGTTCTCTCATTATGCTCTCTCATGACATCACCAGAGACAGTAAGAGACAGATGGTAAGATGCTAATCATTTCAAAACGTATTTTGTGCTTGAGTTGCAGTTTAACCTTGCAGTTTGCAAAGAGGAAGGCAACAGTTTACGAAAATGAGTAAAGTTTGTTTCAAAAGTGGAGTAAATGACACAATCTATTCAATACCTCTGCAGTGAATCATGTCTTCATGAAGTATATGCTGAGGTTTATTTAAACAGTTTAAGAAACATTGTGATTATTTTCGAATCCATATTAATGGATCTTCTCCCTGTAAAGAGAGTTGTTCCAAAGTTCAGTTAAACATATGTGATATATTTAACTTAAATGAATAAACAGGTAACTGACATTGTGGCAATTTACACAAAACTATTATGAAATGCATCTGATCGTACAAACATGGACATCAAAACAAATGAACAGACAACTTTATATCCTTCTTGTTTTGCAACCCTAAAATGACTTATGCTCTATATGTACATTACATAGCTCCCATGTTCACCTATGCTGTGAGTTTGGCTATAAAGTAATGGCTCTTTCATTTAAAATGATATAATCTGGGTCATTGTAAATGGCAAATTATGTAGCGCTTTTCTATTCCTGCCGACCACTCAATGCATTTTACAGTACAGTTGGGCCTCCTTACACACCAACAGCAATCAGTTGCAGGCATTTACCAGCTTTAGATTCATAATTATGATCTAAGGTTGCAATGACACGCTCAAAGCAGAATGGAGACAGTAAGCTGTCTTTTGAATTTGTGATTCAAACGTGATAAACCGGTTTATGCTGAAGTGGTGTCCCTCACCTCTTTCTGATCTCCAGGAGTCAAGAAGCCAACCTGAGTGAGCTCTGGCGTACTGACGCCTCGGACAGTGATCATTATGTCAGCATATGGAACTTCAGTGTCGCTCTCATCATCTGCGCCAAAGAAATTATTCAGTATATCACAGGTTTCAGTCTTTGCATTGTAAACAGTGATGATGTGTCACTTAGATTAGTGTTGTGCTGTTACTCATCCAGAATTGATTTACCTGGTGTTGGAATTCTCAAAGTCACTCTTTCATTTTGTGTAGACATGCACCCTTGGGGAATATGACAGGTAAGAATAACGAGGCTGCTTTTGAAGGCTAACATTCGTACATTTAATATTTTAAACTGTTTACCCATCACTGGTGAGAAGACAGTGCGGAGTGGTAGTGGTGAGCTGAAAGAGTAATGGATAAGGAAATAACTAACAAAGAATCATAGATTTCTTTAATGTTATTAGATACATGTTTACACAAACAGTAATTTGTAAATTGTACTCACCCTGACCTGGACACAACAGGCTCTCCTGCAATGTGTGAAATTGTTAACACAACAGAGATAGAAAATTATATACATTTAAATCTAAATTATCCTACTGCATTATTATCTTATTTTTGAATCACCTTTATCATTCCAGCTCTGTCTGATCTGCTTTACACACAGGTAAGCAGCCAGTGCTGCCAGCATCAGGGCGACAACAATGGTAAATGTTACCAAAACCTTCATTCCTGTAAATTCTCCTGTTTACATTGGAAAAAAAACTGTTAATTTGGGCTGTATTTAATAAAAAGACAGCTTTTACTCCTGCACATAATTATACAAGAGACACAGCCAATCATAGATTATCGATGTAAATGAACTTGTGCTATCTCACCTCCTTTTGAATCTTTTGGTTTAGCAGGAAGCGATGCTGATAAATATAGAACAAGGTATAAAAGTATTGTAAATATCTGAAATTAAATATTGTAATTTTTTAAACCTAAAAGTGCCTCACCATTTTTAGTGTCTGTCTTTGGGGTAACTGTCCAGTGTGGGATACTTGTTTGAACTGAAAAAAAAAGGCAAAAACACTGAAATTGAATCTACTTCTGTTATTCTAACATTTGTTTACTCGTCTCTGTCTTATATAGTAGATCAATCCTATTTATTTCCATATAATAATATGATCTACCTCCAAGTTGCAGTAAAACAACACGCTCTGTTTTTTGTTGAAGTTGAGGGTCTTCTGTGTCTTGCGTGTAGCAAGTGTAGCTCTTATCGAGATCTTCGGCAGACACATTTGACAGATGGAGCGATATTGTGCAAAAGCTGCTTTTGCTTAATATCCCCAGACAGCGCGAATTATCTGATGCTCCGCTCCAGCAGCCACGAACAAATCCAGTGGAGCAGTTGTAGGTGCAGTTTAATGTGAGATTGTCTCCCAACACCACTGCCAAGAATTCAGTGGGAGTCTTCATATTAACACAGCTCACAAAATCTGCAGAGAGAGAGTATAATTTCAGCTACTTTACATGACAAGCTTCTATTTTACAACAAATGAAGCGCATTTTGAGAGCATTAATGAATAGATAAACAATACAATGACAAATTAACTTTACCTTGTGTCAACCACAAAAACAGCAATGTGAAATGCACTGAGATCCCCATCGTATTTGTCTGGTTCCTGACGTCTTAAAAAACCTGCAATCAAATATCTTGTGCTACTGAGTTTGGTGATGCTTGCACCTGCAGAACTTTTAAATACCCACACATATGCACTAACGTTGGAAAGGTACAGGAAGTGGTAATCAACAGGATAAGTTTCCATTCATTGCACTTGACTTCCTGGAAAATATCATTTCAGTTGATAGCTTAAAGCTTTAAAGCTTTTTCTTCAAAATGTTGGTGCACTGATGACACAATAACATTTATATGACCAAATTTTGTGTGTTTATTAATAATGCACAGCAAAAATTTTGCACCTGGCTTGGAGAACAGATTCTGTGTGTGATAATGTGGTTTGCACATATATGTCTGCAGATGCACCAGTGCAGAGGATGTCTGACTTTCACTTTATTTTTTATATCCTCAGCACTTAAAGGAAATATGGGTCTTTTGTGGTAATGCTTTCAACGATAGCCTAATTTAAATGATTATAGAAATGTATCTCTTGTTCTAGCCTTTAGATGAATAACATAAGTTTTATAAATAATTGAAGATCCACTAACAGCTACAATTTCGCAGTTAGCTTTAGCACATACTCATGCATTATGAAAGTGGAAGGTACAGTTACAGAGCATCATTGTACACCATTATCAGCTTGAGCCTTCCCCTGGGAATCACGTTTCGTGCTCCTGTTTCGGCTTCAGTGACAGACGGCCTCTCACTTTCATTGCTTTAAACAATACGTAGTCACGTAGGCTCAGACCAAACAGTTGGGAATGAAGATACACAAATAACTGAAACAGAGTGGACTTGATTGAAGATCCAGCGAAGATGTGCTCATGTAGAGTGATGCATCTGCTCTGTTTTTCAGCTGCGTGGGTTTTTCTGCTGCTGACACCATCTGGACTCGCCTCAGGTAAGAACAGGGATTGTTAAAGGTTATGTTTTCAGTATATTTAATACATAAAGCCAATTAAAAAAGAAATAAATCAATATAGTATTGACAAATGACAGACTCCTACACCCTTCCCTTACGTGAATTTATTTGTGTAAGAATCATTTGAAGGGAGTGCAGACCCCCCCGTCAACAAAGAGACAGACCTCGATCAGTGCCCAGGAGGAAAATACTTCTCCCACCAGCTTTGTTTAGAGTGTCCCTCTGGCCACTTGTAAGTAATCAACAAATGTTTGATAAAATGTAAAAAATTAAACATGTTCAATCACTGTGATTAAAACCTGTAACTATAACGGAACATACATCTGTTGTATAGTTGTCCAGGCAATGTGTCTGCACCTCATAGATGCCCAGCAGGAACATTCAACCTCTACACAGGAAAAAGCAATATCAGTGACTGCAAGGTAAAAAAACGCATCAGCATACAAGTCACTGCCTCTTAAACCCTTTGTGCAGTGCCTTCCCTCGAAAGCCAAAGAAAGACCATATTTCATTTGTCATTTATAGCAGTGATTCAGATTCATTGACTTTTTTCAAAGCAGACATTTTGGCTCCTGTATTTACTGCAATCCAACTCAGCAGTATTAATTAGTTATAACTGTGTTGGACAAGTCTGAATGTCTGCTGTTAAAAAAGGTATATTTGTCTTTTTCTACTTACCCTCATCAAATGTGTGTTCATACCTCAAATACTGAGTTTGATGCCGTCTTTACTCATTTGAATTCCATGTGTTGCAGCCTTGTTTTCCAGGTCTGATCAGCTCAGAGGACAAAGTGGACTGTAGGCTGTGTCCTGCAGGTTTCGCATGTGACCCGGTGAAGGGGACGCTCTTTCTATGCCCCCCAGGACAACATTCTCCTGAAGGGGTCCTGCTGTGTCTGACCTGCCCCGTAGACTCTGTCTGTCCCTCTGGATTCCCTCATAAGGTGACAATATTGGCAGACTTTGTCAATTGCACTTGTATTTTGTATTTGAGAAAGAAAAAAAGACATTATTCTGACAGAAGTGTTCCTACAAACTACAATTTACCAAATCCATTTGCTTTTTCTACGTGTTCCTATGTTGATCTCTCATA